GCGCCATGATGACGGCTGTGGTTGCAAACAATCGCTCTTCTGCTTTAGTTATTTATTAGTCAGCTCTTTTCTTTATCTTGGTTTTCTACTTCGTCGCTCTTTCCGGCCGCGCAGTCCGGTGCCTTGTATTTTGTAAAACACGCCGCAAGTATTAAACCAATGAAAGACCATGAAGACTGAGACTCTCCAGTGGCTACTGCCCGTCGTCAAGTGACGACGGGCGGTGGAATCCGTTCCTGCCCGTCGTCACTTGGCGACGGGCAGTGGATCCAGTTCCATCAGGCATCACCTTTGTCTTTGAGCGGGCAGGACGGCGCTTTCCTGCCCGCGCAGTTTGATCTGTGATTGGTCGACTCCAAGGCGATAATCACGTGACATACGGGAACTGTTTGTGTTCGCACATCCGGGATCGATGCTGGAAGTGGAATGCACCTTGCACTAGTTGCAGCTGCCGCTTGGACTTGGAGGGTGACGTGACTCACTTGAGTTGTGGAGTTGTTGAGTCTTGAGACGTTGACTCTTGACTCAGCATTATGGACATGATCCAGCGCTACAAAGTAGAACAGACCCATTCTCCGCCACGCCGTGATTACGGTGTGCGACGCGGTCCTTACTGACTTTAGCAAGCGAGCCTGGGGCTGAGCAGGGGAGAAGTGAATAGTTCCACTTTCCTCCGCGGATACTCCCATTGATTCCTGTTTATGAAACTGTGCAGGCGCTAGGCAGCCACACTGAAGCAAGTTTCTTTCACTGTTTCAGCATAGCGCTTAGCCAGCATAGGTAGCATGATAATAATATTAATAATTATTATGATACTGGCAACTGCACTGGCCTGAAAGTGTTGTCTTTGCTGGCCTACACTAATCTGTATTATTACTAGGGGGTCCGGGATTGGCTCGTCACCACCCTTCCGTCTACGTCTGTACTGTGGGTGTTACATCCGCAGGATTGCATGCACTGCACTTTACTGCACCCAGCCCAAACTGGGCCAAAGACTAAGTACTTGGCTCGGATCGGAAAGGATTGGAAATAATTGTGCCTTTCGCACTTCTGAAATCATTGTCGAAAAGAAGGGAAGGCTGATTGCTCGTGTTTCTGACCACGCAGCTAGCTGCAAGTAGTGGAGTACTAGTAAGTGCAAGACAGTCATAGCCAGCGTGCTCAAGTTCGTTCTCTGAGGTGCTGGAGAGAAGACAACACCTTGCTTCCCGACCTTTAGCCGCAACGAATCACTGTCGAGGAGGAAACATGCAGACACTATTGCCGCTGCTCGCCAGCTTCCTGGCCACTCTGGCGGTGAGCAGAGCGTTTGAACATTACCAAGATGACATTCCGAATGTGGGACGAGGCACCAGTCGCATTCCGGCGCCTATCAACCAAGGGATTTCAATCAACAATGTTCCTGTGACACAACCTGGCATGTGAGTGGCGGTAACCGGTTCTTCCATTTCAGGATAGTATTACATGTATGTATGTGATTTTATCAGACCTTTTACAATAGTGCTTGATTTCAATCGGCATCGGAATCCTCGTCACCGTCTTCCGAGCGCGCCTATTTGACAATTTGAGGCTAGTATATTCAGACCTCGCCTATCCGGTTCTCTTTTATCCGGATCCCTCGCCATCCATAATCCAGAAGAAAATCGTTGGTTACCGATTCACAGCATAATAATTATGTCATGCATGCATACATACAGTATGTGTGTTCGATTATCCGGTTCCCTCGCCTATCCGGATATTTTGTTGAAAACGGATGTGTGCGGTTATGCGAGGTCTGACTGTAGTATGGTCCAGTTCATCAAGCAAGGGACTTGCAGCGCTGGTGTAGGCCCTAAGGGGGGGGGGGGGGGGGGGGGCGTCCCAGCATGCACAGCAGAACCACACTGTCCGAATCCTCATCAGTTTACTGTTATACACGAGAGAGTAATTACAGTAAACTAAAGACCACCGTGACTATCCTGCTACTACCGACCACCGTGACTAGCCTGCTACTACAGACCACCGTGACTATCCTGGTACTACCGACCACCGTGACTATCCTGGTACTACCGACCACCGTGACTATCCTGGTACTACCGACCACCGTGACTATCCTGGTACTACCGACCACTTTCGAATTTAGTGGTCACACCCGTACTAACTTTTGGGAGGATACTAACTTTCGGGCACAAACTAACTTTCGGACTTGACTGGTGTGTAGTGGAGAAGTCATTTTTCATGTAGATGTACATGTTTTAAGTAGTGCTGAGTCGGGTAGCGTTTTCTTCAGGTATCCGGTTTGGGCCAGTAGTAGATTTCCACGGGTAGCACAGGTACCCGATCGGGTAATGTTTCCATGGTAATACCACACTGCACCCCTTCCCTTACACACTGGGTGGATGTGCGGGGTATTACATGAACTTGTACACATGCACTGCACATGATGTCGTCTGCGACTTCGAGTTTTCGGGTACTATTCTGTACCCGACTACCCGAGGTCCTCACGGGTAGCACGGGTACCCGACTACCCGTGCACACCCCTAGTTTTAAGCACTGCATGTGCGAACCGTACCGGTACTTATTTCGGGCAGTATGTTTATCGGGCTGAACTTGACTTCCACAGACAGAATCAAAAGGATGGAGGAGGTATATATTTCGGGCAGGTACTTATTTATGGACTTTTACGGTATATCAGACACCGCAAGTAATGCATCGCCCAGGCGCCTTGGGCAAACTAATGGCAGGGCCGCCGGAACCAGTCCGGCTGGTTCGGCCATGGCCGGACCACTACCCCAGCTGGATGGTCCATGTGATTCGTGCAAAACCGGTGTAAAAAACTTCACAGGTACAAGACTCATACTGTCGACAAGTCACTGGAAAATGCATGCACTAGTCAACATTGGAAAAGAGCGATAACATCGCACAAGACAGAAGAGACTTGATCGAAAGAGATCGAGGAAGCCGAAAATAATCGTTAGTTCGATAAGCCCACGCAGAGTGTGCGCAAGCGGTCACGGCATGCATGTAGATGTACACCAGGTCGTGCCAGCTCAGGGACTGAGGCCCTGTGATCGCGAGGGAGTCGATCGCATGCACGGAGAAGTCAACACCTTGGACGCTACCGGCACAATCACCGGCACTGTGTGACTTATGGATATAAAAGAAGTGGTGTTTTTGTTCTTTGACTATGATTTTCTGCATTTTTGGGAGCCTCGCGAGATGCTCAAATTCGCTTTATTCCCGTAGCTATGCGGCAAAAGACGTTACTTCAGTAATGACTGGCGCTAGCCAGGGTCCACACAGCTTAATTCAGTGTTTGTTTGTTTGTGCCATCGGCATGCCTGGCGCTATCCCGTACCTGTCCCGTACCATACCGTACCATCAAAGACAGCTGGCCACAAACAGCTGCCCACAATATTCAAATAGGGCTTTCAAATGCAAGATCATAACGTGAAGTGGAAGAATGAGTATGTATGCGAAGTGTATCGGGGGAATGCATGCAGCGCGATAGTGCGGGTTCGAATCCTAGGTTATGTCTTGAAAAAAAAGAAGAGAAATGAAAAATGTATATCATCCCTATGCTTTTTTTGCCTGGGTCATCAAGGTGGTAGACGGTGTCGTATTACCCTCGAATGCAAAGAGAAAGTTTGATGTAGCCAATCAATGGAAAAAAACCATTTCCATCAGTTCTTATAACATGCATGATGAGCTAGCTAGGTAAAAAAAGCATAGCGTAGGGCCCTGAGCTTCCAAGCTCTCTCGTTTCGCGTAAATTTTCAAAAAATTCTACGGAGGTCCCCGGACCCCTCAAACATCGGCCGGACCACTCCCAAACTCCTTCCTCCAGCCCTGAATGGTGGTGAGCAGGAGAGCTCTGTGCCAGAGTGTAACTTTGCAGGTTAGAGAGCTTGTGGGGGCAGGCGTGTATTTATGTATTTAGTACTATTTACCATCACTTTTGCCAGGTGTGCTTCTACCACCAAATTATTCAACTGCAGTAATTGTCTTCGACTTCGTTCTCCGTTACAGTCTATTCATTGTTCGTTGTGCTTGTAGGGTATGCCAGTCAATTGGACATGCCCTACAGTGTGGTGGCCCATCATCTGGCGGGGGTAATTCCTTCGGAATGGCCTTCAATGTTCCACGATTCACAGGCTCGTATACCACCGCCGTGTGCATGGCAGACAGCGATGGCGATGGGTATACCAATGGCGATGAACTTGGAGATCCGTTCTGCGGATTCATCACCAGCAGACAGCCAAATCGTACCACGTGCCTTTCCCATCCAGGTGAGTACACCATAATACACTGCCAACATCGGGACGCACCGACTAGATAAGCACCAGCTTAATGCTGGTTTAACACTGGCCAAACGCTGGCCAAACGCTGCCTAAACACTGGCTTAGGGCGCGTTCAGACTACCGATAAAAAGTGACGGAATGGAAAAGTTGCCAAGGTGATTTGATCACGTGACGTTACTGGCACGTTACCGGCGGAAAGGTTTTACTGCCGTGGCTGCTGCGGCAGTAAAATTTTCCCGGCAGTAAAAAAGTGCTCCTGAGGCTGCATGCGCGCTGTGAAAAAGGGAAAATCCCTTCTCAGCGCCGCGGTGAGAGGTGCAAAACTTACGTACCGGTAACGTTAGTTTGTCGGTAGTGTGAATGTCCTTCACGGTTTATCGGCATTCACGGTTTGACGGGGTTCACGGTAGTCTGAACGCGCCCTTAACACGTTATTCACAGGTTAAAAACAACCTAAATGTCAGTTAAAGGGGAAGTTAAGCCTAAAATCAATTTTTCACCAGTTGTAGTCTTCGGGGTGCTGAGTCGAATGGTCTTGGTCCGAGGAAGCTGAGACGCTCCCTTCCTCCTTTATTCCCAATCGAACTCGCGCACTTCCACCGAAACTGGGTGACTGCGCCCTACTAGATGGGGATTTGTATGCAAAATGTCACTAAAAGCGCCATTTCGTTCTTATAAAAGCCCGGATGACCGCGATTGGCCCATATGTTGTAGTCTTTTGGACGCGGAGTCGACTGGTTTTGGTCCGAAAGGGCTGCGATGCAGCGTTCAGCCCTTATTCCCAATCGAACATGGTTGAACAAGCGGTCACGTGCTCCTGCGCACACCAGTCACCTGGTCACCGCGCCAGCGGGCGACAACTTTCACACCAAGGTTCAACTCAAAGGTTCAAAGGTTCAACTCGAGTGACAGAAACTCGCCCAAACATGCTGTAAGTTGTAGCCTGCAGGCACGGTGACCAGGTGACTGGTGTGCGCACGAGCACGTGGCCGCTTGTTCAGCCATGTTCGATTGGGAATAAGTGCCGAACGCTACATCGCAGCCTTTTCGGACCAAAACCAATCGACTCAGCGTCCAAAAGACTACAACATAAGGGCCAATCGCGGTCATCCGGGCTTTTGTAAGAACGAAATGGCGCTTTTAGTGACATTTTGCATACAAATCCCCATCTAGTAGGGCGCAGTCACCCAGTTTCGGTGGAAGTGCGCGAGTTCGATTGGGAATAAAGGAGGAAGGGAGCGTCTCAGCTTCCTCGGACCAAGACCATTCGACTCAGCACCCTGAAGACTACAACCGGTGAAAATTTGATTTTAGGCTTAACTTCCCCTTTAAGAACACTAGTTATCCCATGGGTGGGGCGACTTAACCCTTTAAGAGCCGCCCCATACTTGAATGCAAAACTTCAAAAGATAGTAACTCAGTCCAATCTCGCTCAAATCCAGTGATCGAAATATCCAGGGCGAAGAGAAAACTCTAACCTGTCGGGAGAAACAATCCGCGAAGCGCTGCGAGCAACGGGTCCCGAGATAAATCACTCGTAAGTTGAGCCGCGATCGCGGCAATTTCAAAAGCGCGCAGTGCGACTTTAGTATTGAGAATTTTGGGACTTGTCGTCACGCTGGTTTACTCGAATTTGCACGGGTTTCGCTGTTGATATTTTCAAGAGTACACAGCGAAAAAATTGGAACTCCACGTTCGAGTAAAATGAAATACAGTCAAATCTGTCGTAAGCGACCGCCCCTTGGTGCAAGAAAAAGCGGTCGCTTACGGCAGATGGTCTCTTACGGCAGATGTATGGTAAATCCGGCATACCAGGTACATGTATATGCTTCCATGTACTCAAATCGACGAGAATAATGTGATTTTTAATATCATTTTATTGGATATTCAACGACGACCATACTCGTATAGTACGCGTATGCGACACGGCAGTAGATCGACACTGCCTGGACTTGAGAGCTACAGCACAGCCTCAGCACAGGCCAGGCGCCAGTCGATCGCACTAACTCAACTGTGAGTTGCAAGACATTGCATTTTATTATTATTATTATTATTATAGACAACACCTCATGGCATGAAAAGAAAATCAGCCAGTACGGGAGATGTGGGTGTTAACCAACCATGGTGAATAAAAGAAGAAAAGTAATGGTCAAGACGGAGAAGCATAAGGCAATAAGCAGAATCAGCGAAGCGGACATTGGACGTAGTCGTGAACAGAAATAAAAGATGGATAAAAAGGCTGGATATAAAGTTTCCGAACACGTTTTCTAGAGACAATCATTCATCAGGGAAAATACGTCACACTTTGCAGTTGACAGCGCACTGGCAAATAGTTTCGCACCTTTCTGAACCAGGGTCGCGGTCGCTTACAGCAGATTTGAATGCAGCCACCGTGCATGAAATCGCGGTCGCTGGTCGCGCACAGCAGATGGTCGCTCTGGACAGATCAGTTTGTATGTGAAACCGTCGGTGCACGGAAAATCGGTCGCTAACGGTAGATGGTCGCCTACAGCAGAGGTCGCTAACGGCAGATTTGACTGTATCTGGAGTGGGACGCAATTGGACGCATTTGGGGCATTTTTCGTACTGTCGCTGCGATCTAGCGCTGGATGGACGGTGTGCTGGCTATCATGATCGACCTCATTCTCTTCCTCTCGCGGAGACCTTTCCAGGAAGCCCTAGATTGTGAGGATTGAGTGAGTAGAACTGAAGCTGTGATCCAAGGAACACGAAAAAATGCAGAATTTTGAAATTTTCCTGTGGCTCTTAAAGGGTTAAGCCAATCACTGAGCGGCTGTTCTGAGCGGGGTAAAAATATGTACCCAGCTCGGTTCACGTGGGCAATGTCAAGAGTAAAATAAGGCAGCTTTGGTGTTGGTCATGCTGAGGCAGCACCATGGGATAAATGGATTATGCCATTCGTACTCTGTGTGTACCCTGTCCCTCATCCTTTCCTTCGTGCTAACACACTGGTGAAAACATTTGGCGGTATACCCCTCGTACTCATGGTATAATCCATACATAAGAGCTGGTAAATTCTTATCCGTCCGACCAAGTGGACAAATTCTCAGTACCAGTGACTAGGCATTTCCTAAATCGGCCGGCCGAAAAATTCGCCGAAAACTGTGGTTTTGAAGAAATCACGGATCTTTTCGCCGAATATGCAATTTTGGGACTGAATTTGCCGAAAATCGATGTTTTTATGCCTCAACAGCATGTACATGTACTGAAATCGGTCAGCGGGAAAAGACGACGAAATCAATGGCTGTGAAGAAATCGCCGATAATTGCACCGAATTTGCAAATTCCGCACTGAATTCACGGAAAATGGATGTTTTAGTGCCTCTAAAGCATGCAGGTAAATGTACACTGTATTACGAGCGGTGAATTCAAGTACAGTGGTCCCTCTATAATCCGGCACCATTTGTGCCACGAAAATCTGCTGGATTAGGGAGGGTGCTGGATTAACAAATCTGATTTACTGCTGCAATGTACATGAAGAGGACATTTTGGCTACTGAAAATTGTGCTGGTTTATCGAGGGTGCTGGATTATAAAGTGCCGGATTAGAGAGGGACGACTGTACTGCTTTGAGCCGAATTCTGACTTTTGGCCTCATATTATGGCCTAATTTGGACATTCTCTCAGCCGATCGAAAAGCCGATTAGGCGAAAAAATCGGGCCGATTTGGGAAATGCCTACCAGTGACACACCGCGTGCTATTTTGATGTAGCGGGTCGCAGTCTCTCGGAGGCAAAATACACACGGGTCTCAGTGAACACACTGTTGTCTATTACTGTAAGACATGTTATTATAACGAGTCGCAAATTTAACGATTGTCCAAAATTCATAGGTTAACGAGAAGATATGTTAACGATCTTGCAGTATTCTGCCATATCCACACACAACATATATGAAGCAGTACGGCCTCAACGGATCTTATTATAACGAAGAAATGTCATCAGTTAAAACGTTAGAATTGCTTCCTCGTTATATATACATGTCTTACAGTATTACTCAACTGAACTAAAGACTGGAATGAAGGTTGAACTCTAACTGGAGTGAACTGAATTGGGACAGTAGCTTTTATAGGGTGAGACTCCGTACGTTAACGACTATGGCCAGGGGATACGCTACATTAGGAAATGGATCAGTATGCGCAGCCGAATATATGAAAGGAATGCATGGCAGGCTGAATGGAGTAAAGAATGCTGAATGGAGTAAAGTGGTGGCCTGCACTTAGGCAGTAGTCCATGCGAGCAAAGTGCAGTGGTGGTAACAAGCATGCTATAGAAAGTGATTGTAGCTGTGTGAGTTACCAGCGTGCCAACGCTTCACCTCCCCTCTCACATACAATCACTTCTTCATGATTCGTAGCGGTTTGGTGGGCGAATCATTTGGCGGTTCCGGAACTGGGCACCTTGGTCACTATGCAGACTATTTGGTGAACCATAGCGACAGACGAAGCCGTCAACGAAATATCGGGCGACCGTCTCGGCCCGGATGTCTGGGAGTGGAAACGCCTTGTACCACTTTGTGAAATAGTCTCCAATGACAAGGGTGTAGCGGTTTCCTCGTGGTGTCACCGGAAGGGGGCCCATAATATCCATTCCGACTCGTTGTAGAGGAAGTGATGGTTGCGACGTCACCATTGGCGCCCGAGGTGGTCAGGTCGGGACCGACAAGTTGGTCCTGGCAGACTGGCCTCCAACGCAGCCAGATGGTCTAACACAGCCTTCAGTTGATCTGCCACCGTGTCGAGTGGCTGGGAAACGGCAAAGGCGGGGAGCAGCACAGGTTCCACTGCCGGCAGTTCGGCAGCGAGGATTGCCTGATAGTGAAGCGCATCCTGGACAGGCTGGAGTGCCCCGTCCGTTGTCTGCGGGTTCAGTTCCCTAACACGGACGTGCATTCCCCGTGAGTCAAGACCGGAGATGAATTGGTTTTTCGTCAGGCTGTCGAGGTCTCCCGCCGCCATATGGGGGTAGGCTTGCCGGGCCAGGGAACGAACCGCCTCACAGAATGTCCCCAGTTGTTCGTCTTTGGCCTGGCGACGAGCTTGAAAGGTTGCGCGGTGCAAGTCGACGCGCCGTGCTGGGTCGAAGCGGGCTTGCTGCGCCTGTACCAGTTGTTGGTGGCCTCCATTCCTGGTGGCCGCCGGGAGAGACTGATAATACAACTGGGCCTCGCCTTCTAGTGCCAGGCCCAGGAACTGAGTCTGCTGAACTGGGGTCCAGTTATTGACGGCCGCGGCCTGGTCAAAGTGCATTAGCCAGGAAACGAAGTTGTCTTCCAGGCGACCCTTGTACTTTTCGGGCTGGACATGGTACGCCCCTCTCAGTGATTGGGTAGGAGCAGGCGGAGCTGGGGCTGCAGCGGGTGCGGCAGCGGGTGCCCCGGCAGCGGGTGCCCCGGCAGCGGGTGCCCCGGCAGCGGGTGCCCCAGCAGGTACATTAGGTTGAGCCATTGGAGAAACGTGCAAAGTTAGATATAATAAACAAAATGAATTTACCGCTGGGCACCAATTTTGTAGCGGGCCACAGTCTCTCGGAGGCAAAATACACACGGGTCTCAGTGAACACACTGTTGTTTATCAGGGGCGGATCCAGGAATTTTTCAGGGCGGGTTCAAATTTTTTCGAGTGCACAGAATTAAATTCGCTTCAAACTGTTTTCGGTTCGTTCACTACACCGGGAGTTGCAAAATCTTTATTAGAGAGGTTAAGATGCACGTTATTTCCGACGTGACGCGCAATTTCACGTCAGATTTGGCGTAAAACTCCAAATTTCGACGTGAGCAGCAGGTCACTCGCGTTGATTTTTCGACGTGCGAGCAAGTAAAGCGAGCTGAACTTTCGCGTCACGTCAGAAATAACGTGCATCTTAACATCTCTATTGTCACGGTAGCCCTTGGCCAATAAGACAAGGGTAATGCGTTTAGAAACATCGTCTACTACTACTGGCTGCTGTGCATCCTCTCCGACGGTGACGACTTCAGGTTTGTCCGACTCCGTGGCCGTAACAGTGCAATCCGTGACTGCAGCATTTTCCGAACTGACGGAAGGCGAAATTCTCTGACTGTCCTCCGGCTGGGACTCCGTGTCGTCACATTCGCGCCGTACACGACGGAACGAAGCCAAGCTCAATGGCAACTGATCGGCCGCTTGCCTCTTTGGCAGACGTCGCGACATGGCAAGCTGCACGACAAACACAAACATTATCTTCGTACTGCGACGGAGAAAACTTACAGTCGACTAGTCCAGCCAGCGCGAAATAAAACAAAACGACAAGGAAGGTAACTTAGGAGGACAAGTGGCCGGCAGTTTTTCCACCTTTTGCTCCACCACTTGAACTGTCGATCGTTTCAAGTCACATGATACGCATACAGACACTTCGATTCGAACGGTACGCGTACAACAGTCCCGACCACTGCATGCATGCAGTAACCTGCACTGCCTGTACGTGACTCTACTGCGTGCAGGATGCATACCAGTGAAGTACTGGCTACGCGGTACGCTACACTTCGCTTAGCCGCCCTAACTGCGCACGCTGCACGTGGATACCACAAAGAAATCGACTGGACCCACGGTCGAAATTATTTTAGGGGGTTCGTCCGAACCCCCTGAACCCCCCTGTATCCGCCCCTGTTTATTATTACTCAACTGAACTAAAGACTGGAATGAAGGTTGAACTCTAACTCGGAAGTGAACTGAGTTGTGACAGTAGCTTTTATAGGGTGAGACTCCGTACGTTAACGACTATGGCCAGGGGATATGCTACATTGGGAAATGGATCAGTACGCGCAGCCGAATACATGAAAGGAATGCATGGCAGGCTGAATGGAGTAAAGACGGTGGCCTGCACTTAGGCAATAGTCCATGCGAGCAAAGTGCAGTGGTAGTAACAAGCATGCCAATTACACAGAAAGTGATTGTAGCTGTGTGAGTCACCAGCATGCCAACGCTAGATCATCACTTGTCATCCTGGGCTAACACTTGCGTTTCTTCTTGGTCTTCTTGTTGTGGTGTCGTTGGTGTGGTGGTGTGATGTCCAATACATGTGTACAGGATTTGGCTGCTCTACGCCGCTTGATCCGTTTTGTGAAGGTGAGAAAATCTTGTGGATCAACACCCCTCCCCAACACCGGCACAAACACGTGACATGCACACACGCACACACACACACACACACACACACACACACACACACACACACACACACACACACACACACACACACACACACACACACACACACACACACACACACACACACACACACACACACACACACACACACACACACACCATTGGACCATTGGACCATTGGACGCCCATGGCGATCATCAGGCGAAATTACTGGTCAGTCGGCGTCACGCATTTTTCACAAAAATTTGCGTTTCACCTGCTGGGAGAGTATGCGTGTACTCGAGTCTCATCCTGAGCACGTTTTTTTCTTCTTTCTTCAGCTCCAGTATAGCTGTATTTTTCATTGTAAAGCCGTCCTCGATTGTTGTGCTCGTTGTTCAAACGAAGTGGACATTCAATCATGAAGGCAGAGGACATAGGAGCCTGATTGGAGTTTCTCGTGGCATAGGACGGCCATACAGAGACACTTTGGGATTTTCTGAATATAAAATACCGTACGCACGATGCTGAGATCAATTTGTGCGATATCAAATTGTTGTTTGTGATCTACCACATCGAGCAGAACGGGATCCAAACACAAGCTTACCGACGGTTAGGCTGCCGACCTGACTGGACAAATGATCCCTGGCTTCACCAGACGCCAGACGTCGGACACCATGTCCTTTGCCGTGACGTCCATCTCCAAAAAGAACTCCATCTTCGTCGTGAAAAGGCTTGAAATACTCAATATTCAACCGAGATTCGCGGTCTCACCCTTTCTCAGATCGAATCATTTTTTGTTGTAGCAGTTACAGGGCAGATCCCCGCCACTACTTCAACAGAAGATGGCTCCAAAGCATACCTGGAACAAGCCATATCGAGGTTGCAAGCCACCCCTCTCAGCACTTTTTTTGAAGAAATTCGAAATTTCAATGGTGGAAGATATACTATGAAGAGAATTTCAAAAAGTATATTTCGCGGAGCGATCGCTCAACCTACGTCATTCAAACTTTGCAGGATGGTTCAGACGTACATGCTAGGCATGGAACCACAGAAGATGATATCATAGCTGACACACAGAGTCACACACACAGCAGATTCGTGTGCACAGATACTAAATTAGTGGACGTCGTCATCTTCTTCCCGCTGATCTCAAATGTACGATGACGTGCTATTTCGCCTGACGTGATAGCGATGCTACAGCAGAAGCCATAGCAGCTTGTGCTGGGATTGCACCATTCGACAACTTGCAAGGCTGAAGAATTGACCGCCACTATTCAGCCTGGTCTACACCACACAGCTATGAAGTGACTTTTTCTGGCCAGTGAATCCCTACTTTTTGGTCTTTTTTTCTTTCTTTTAATTTTTTTTCCCGCACACACATCACACCACATACTCCAGCATGCACTGGCTGTTGGTAACCACCCAGGAGAATGAAAGAAAAGTCAGGAGAAGTCTGAGAAAGAGAAGAAAGACGTGTGTGACCATAATCGTCGGGAATCGAACCCGCAACCTCTCGATTGGAAATCGCTGCACATACCACTGCACCATATGGGACACACACACACACACACACACACACACACACACACACACACACCTTGTGGGGGGATAACACTAATGACATTGGAAAGGCTTCCTGTCTGAAGCCTTTCCATACTGGTACTCGATGTTCCAGTTTTGTGACACGAGAATGGCACGAGAATTAGTGTACCGCTGAGTGTACCGCTATACACGTGGTTGACACGTAGTCGACACGTTGTTGATACTTTTTTGACACGTGACCCCGTCAACGGTCTGCTTTGTGCCAATGCCACTCGGTAAACGCCGATGTCGCGTACGACAAAGACGACTATCCCGTACGCGAAATAGTTGAGAATTGCATGACGTGGACCTGACGGCAAGGACAACTGCGAGGAGGCCCCTTTCGGTACCCCTGACGGGAAGGAGAACTGCAGAAGTCGACGAAGTCGAACGAGGAGGCCCCTTTTCCGTACCCCATACTGCAAAGTGCTATTGATGGATACCTTTTGCACCTGGAACGACCCCTTAAACGCTGTCGCGGCGACTATCCCGTACGCGAAATAGTTGAGAACTGCTGACGTGGACCTTTTGCACCTGGAACGGCCCCGTAAACGCTGTCGTGTCGGCGGAGTGAATGTGCAGGATACTAGGGTGAAAAGAATTGCTGCAAAGACGTCCCCTCTACTAGGCTCTAGGCCTTTGCCTTTGGAGACATGGCGAACTGAATGCGCAGGGCGAAAAGAATTGCTGCAAAGACGTCCGCTCTAGGCCTTTGGAGACATCGTGGGAACTCCTTCCGGTACTATAAAACTGCTGACGTGGCCGTGGACATGTACATGGAGAGTCATGGTGGGACTTCATGTACATGTGGGAATTCCTTCCGGCACCCCCGTACCGCAAAGCCAACGGTGGGGAAGGAGAAGTGCAGACGTGCAGGAAGACGAACGAGGAGGAACCAGGACGAGCGAGCAATGGCAGGACTAGCTGGACCGTAAGTAATAGCTGAATTGTGCATGACAACTTGACATCCATGCGGCACTCGCCACTTGCCACTGCATATTTCTTGTCCACTAACAATGTCTCTCCTCTGCCCCCTTTGTGTCCACGGCCCTGTTTCTGAATTGGCCCAATGAATCGAATGTCTTCCGCAACTGGAACGGCCCCGTGAACGCTGTCGCGTCGGCGACTGAATGCGCAGGAGGGAAAATATTGCTGCGAAGACGTCTCCTCTAGACGACGGTAAGGCACCCCATTGATATGTTGCCAGTGTGTGCCAGGGTATCGCGCGATGGTGAATGAGGAATGATGAAGGGTACGGTGGGACTGTAGACCTGTTACCTTCTACTAAAGCCCGATTCACAATACAACTTTCTGCGACGCGACACGCGATTTGCGACAGTTGCGACAAGAAACTGCCTGTCGCAAGCTGTCGCAACCTGTCGCAAGCTGTCGCAATGCATCTGTCGCAGAAGTTGAAGAAAGTTCAACTTTTGCGACATGCGACACGCGACATACACAAATGGGTTACAGTTTCGACCCTGGGTGCACGTGCAGTGCACGTGTATAGTACTACTTGTGCATGAGGATGTCGCAAACATGAAGAATATTGTGAACCGTGTGTCGCTGTCGCAGCTCGTCGCATGTGTCGCAAGTCGCATGTCGCGTCGCAGAAAGTTGTATTGTGAATCGGCCTTAAGGCTGTGTTTACATGAAGCGTTTCAACCCGGGTTGAGTTCGACCCTGGTCAGATTTCAACCCGCCATGTGCACAAAATGAATGGCGCGTTTACATGACGCATTGCGCTTGACCCGGGTTGAAATTTCGCCCCGGGTTGATTTCAACCCCCCCCCCCCCCAAGGGGAGGGTTGAAGTCAACCCGGGTCAAGAAAATCGTACAAACGTACTTCTGTGCGTATCTCGCGCCAGGTTTGAACGGCACTGCAGATGCAAATTTCGCGCGAACGGATTCACGTGACCATACAGGACTGTAGAAGTGGACTTTTGGCGGCATATCAGTATTTGACCCGGGTCAACTGTCTTCATGTAAACACTCACCTCTTTTGTCTATCGTACAGACTTTCAACCCGGGCTGAACTCGACCCGGGTTGAAATTTCTCATGTAAACACAGCCTAACACGTTATCAGGTGGAGAGTGTCTTGTACTCACGTTATCAGGTCGAGAGCGTATTGTAGTCACTCTCTCTATTCCTGTACTTCATTACGTTTAAGGTGTACGTATAACTTCTCAAAAAAATTTAATGGTCTACAGTCGTGTCGGAAGGGTACGGTGGGACTGTAGACATGTTACCTTCTAACACGTTATCAGGTGGAGAGTGTCTTGTACTCACGTTATCACTATATCAGGTCGAGAGCGTATTGTAGTCACTCTCTCTATTCCTGTACTTCATTACGTTTCAGGTGTACGTATAACTTTTCCAAAAAATGTAATGGTTCACGTCTTCAGATAGAGAGCGTATTGCACCCACTGTCTAGTCTCTGTAGTGCATTGAGATTTTGTTGATCGAACATGAAATGGATACACAGACAAAGCCAGGCCAAGTACATGGCGAGATGTCGCCAGAAGAACGTCTTCAGGTAGAGAGCGTATTGCACCCACTGTCTAGTCGATTTTGTGGATCGCACATGAAATGGATACACAGACAAAGCAGGCCAAGTACATGAGAGAGTGGACGATGTGCAGATCGACACGGCCTGCGGGTACTTCATTAAAGGGGAAGTTAAGGCAAAAATTAAAATTTGACCAGTTGTAGTCTTCGGGGTGCTGAGTCGAATGGTCGTGGTCCGAGGAAGCTGAGACGCTCCCTTCCTACTTGAATCCCAATCGAACTCGCGTACTTCCACCGAAACTGGGTGACTGCGCCCTACTAGATGGGGATTTGTATGCAAAATGTCACTAAAAGCGCCATTTCGTTCTTATAAAAGCACGGATGACCGCGATTGGCCCATATGTTGTAGTCTTTTGGACGCTGAGTCGACTGGTTTTGGTCCGAAAAGGCTGCGATGCGGCGTTCCTCCTTTATTCCCAATCGAACATGGTTGAACAAGCAGTCACGTGCTCCTGCGTACACCAGTCACCTGGTCACCGTGCCTGCAGGGTACAACTTACTAGCCTGTTTGACCTTTTTTGGGTGCAGTCCTGTCACTCGAGTTGAACTCGAGTTGAACCTTGGTGTGAAAGTTGTCACCTGCTGGCGTGGTGACCAGGTGATTTGGGCACGCAGGACCACGTGACCGCTTGTTCAACCATGTTCGATTGGGAATAAAGGAGGAACGCTGCATCGCAGCCTTTTCGGACCACAACCAGTCGACGCAGCGTCCAAAAGACTACAACATATGGGCCAATCGCGGTCATCCGTGCTTTTATAAGAACGAAATGGCGCTTTTAGTGACATTTTGCATACAAATCCCCATCTAGTAGGGCGCAGTCACCCAGTTTCGGTGGAAGTGCGCGAGTTCGATTGGGATTCAAGTAGGAAGGGAGCGTCTCAGCTTCCTCGGACCACGACCATTCGACTCAGCACTCCGAAGACTACAACTGGTGAAATTTTAATTTTTGCCTTAACTTCCCCTTTAAAGTTACCCGTGACATAACTAGGATAAAAGTTAATCACTGCAAAAACATTGCCAAGTATGTGAGCACTTTGGACTTGACAGAAGAGTGCACGGGCGACGTTGACAAAACATACTGCGGTGACTGTCACTATCATGACAGCAGGGCACATCGCACGCAGCATCGCAGATCGTGTTGAATTGCGCATCATAATATTGCAAAATTGCTCCTGTGCATGCAAGTGGATTTCATTGCACTTCTCAGTTTGGGAAATGCTCGATTATGACAATTCTCCGTGTGAGTGCACTAGCCCTGAACAGACATGTAGGTGAACCGTTTGTGGTGTCTCATAGCCTACCTCACGACCTTCTGCTTTCTTTCTTCATCACTTGTATCTTGCAGGTATATCATCCCGTGACGACCACATTGAAGTCTGAATTTGAAGTGTGAAGATGCTTCAGCAACCACATCGTACTTTTCCATTGCTTTCATTGTGCTTCTACTGTGCATGTGTGTAACTTGTGGGGTAAACATGTGATGACATTGTATGCTGGCGACACGGTCAGATGTTCATGCGTCTGACGTACACCTGCATGTTATGCATTGAAAAGGGTTTGCCACTTGCGATCCTGGGACGAGTATCAGGTCCGCTTTGTCCTGTGTGGGCTGTATCAGATTGCTGTTCACTTCTCTATCTGTTGGATATGTGACTTTCTGCAAGTTTCTGGTGTATGATGGCCACGTCCTTGCTTGTCACTTTGTATATTACATTCTGTATTCGCTGCTTCCATGGCATGGTCTGCAAACTGCAATCATTGGGCAAATGTCATGTTTGCTATGTTGTGCTTTGGCCGTCAGCTTGTCTACACGCTGTAGTTGAATTATTTTTGTTTCACAACTGACTTCCTCAAGTACGGTGGCCACTGCTTTGCATGGCATTATACATGAAGAATTTCCTGTTTGTGCCGTGTGCATGTGCGTATGTGTGCGTGGCCACGTGTGTGTGCCGTGTGCATACACATGTTTGTGTATCTGTGTGCGGGGTAGCGAGGCGGGGAGGGCTGGTATGTATCAGTGTGTTATTGCAGTCGCATGGCTACATACAGTACATCGCGCGCGTGGTCATCATGTTTACCTTCGGGGTTGGGGTGCGGAGGGAACGGAAAAAGAGCTGAAATTATCCATATAAAAATCGCTCTGTGAGCGGTTCTGAAAAACCTTTACTGGTACTGCCCCGTCGTAAAAGTAAGAAATTAGAACTGGCCCATTGTCCCCCCAAATGCGAACTGATCCACCTAACTCGCGAATGACGGGACCCGAACGCACCAGTAGCACGAGGTTCCTACCTGTGGATGCAGATGGGGACGTTGGTCCGGACCATAGGCCATGTACTGTACTAGCGGTAGGCTTCCCTATCAAAATAATAAATTCTACTACTTCGAAGTATTATTGTACTACTACTGGTGTTACCCTATGATAATTGCCGTGATCCTGTGCCCTCCCGACCTCGTGCTACTGGTGCGTTCGGGTCCCGTCATTCGCGATTTAGGTGGATCAGTTCGCATTTGGGGGGACAATGGGCCAGTTCTAATTTCTTACTTTTACGACGGGGCAGTACCAGTAAAGGTTTTTCAGAACCGCTCACAGAGCGATTTTTATATGGATAATGATAGTCATAGGGCATGTTCGATTGGTAAGGATCGGGATCGGGATCCAGATCTCAGATCCGTCGGATCCTTCAGAGTCAACTGGACACGTTTTTGAACCTTGACTGTTGCCATGTGGACGAAGTAATAAAAAGTCGTACTCACAGCGCCAGTTGTACAAAAAGTCAGCAAGCTCTATCTCGATCCACGTGTGCGTACCACAATGTGTACAAAAACGAGTTTTACCCGCCATATACGCACAAAGGTCACATTTGGATCCGTTGGATCCGGTCAACCCTGCTCCCCGAGGTGGGTTGACCGGATCCAAATCCGAAGGATCCGGATCCGGATTCGACCAATCGAAAGGGTGCAAATCCAGTGGATCTGGTGGATCGGGATCCCGATCCTACCAAACGAACATGCCCATAGTCTGTTTGCACCTTTCCCTCAGACGCCATAGTAAGTTGCAGTTTGCTTTCTTCCCTACGTCTGCGTCAGTGGAGTGGCAACATAGCAGCTAGGGTAGGAGAGGAGGGATCGGGTTGTCTCAAGGACTTGAAATGTGGAACTGCAAAACGCAACAGCTAAGTTCCATATTTCATACTGTGGTCTGCCGGTGAACACGTGTACATGTGAATGACCATGATGTGCAGCAAAAAGAGGAAAAAGCCCTTTTGAGATATAAATCATATCAATGGTAGTAACATCTAAGCCTCCTGGCTATGATACTGTTGCACTTTTGTTTGTTTGTTTGTTTTGTTTTGTACATGTATTGTCTTGGTGGCCATCCTAAGCATCCTTGTATCCAGTGGTGTCTTTTCGTGACAATGTTATACTGAATTTATGTTTGTGGATCTGCTTGTACAGACGCTATAACACAACCCCAATGTGGTCCCACAACAGCACCCCCGACTACAATGCCTGCTACAACTACAATGCCTGCTACAACTATGCCAGCCACCACAATCCCAGCCACAACAACTCCACCCACAACAACCCCAGCCACAACAGCCCCAGCCACAACAATGCCAGCCACAACAACTCCACCCACAACAACCCCAGCCACAACAGCCCCAGCCACAACAATGCCAGCTACAACAACTCCAGCTACAACAATGCCAGCCACAACTGCTCCAGTCACAACAATGCCAGCCACAACTGCTCCAGCCACAACAATGCCAGCCACAACTACTCCAGCCACAACTACTCCAGCCACAACAATGCCAGCTACAACTATGCCAGCCACAACTATGCCAGCCACAACTATGCCAGCCACAACTACTCCAGCCACAACAACCCCAGCCACAACTACTCCAGCCACAACAACCCCAGCCACAACTACTCCAGCCACAACAATGCCAGCTACAACAACCCCAGCTACAACAATGCCAGCTACAACAATGCCAGCCACAACTACCCCAGCCACAACAATGCCAGCTACAACCTCAGCCGTGACAATGCCAGCCACAGCCACAGTCCCAGCCACAACTACACCTGCAATGACATTGCCAGCAAGCCCTGCAGTTCCGACTACCAGCCCAACAACAACGAGACCGACTACGGATGTGAACAGCACACCGGTATTCAGTACGTCCTTTGCTCCACCAAACACTTCACCAACACCAGGTAAGCATGGAGTCTGCAAAGCAGCCGACGCCCAAGTGGGTCAGTCCCTTTTCACTCCTCAAAAGCAAAGCGTATTGGCCAATCTTAACGTCAGCAAGCCACACACAGCATGGGTATTTCTCACAACGCAAAAGCATACCGGTACTAGCCGGAAGTATCTGTTGTGCTAGCATTGTGCTTTCAAGCAGGGAGTAGTAAAATACCGTGGTATTTTACTACTCCCTGCTTGCAACACTTCACAGCTAGCGTGAATCACACCACCCGTTTATCAATATCATGACATTTGTCAAAGTAAAGAGACTAAAGACTAAGGGGGCGTTCGTTTTTGATCTACAGGTTTGGGTAGAAACTACTTCTTTCGGTAGAGGTGTTCGTTTTTTCAAAAAAATTCTACTCCAAAGGGTAGATTTTACTTTCCTCTACCAGCTCTACCAGGAAAAAGTTGGTGGAAGCCGGTAGAAGTTGGTAGAGCTATGGGATTTCCAGCAAGATCAAGGATGTGTACACAACTCCATACAGAAGAGAAACATTTCACCTACAGTGCATTTCAAAACTATAGACGCGTAGGGTTTTTGAAATATTTCAAATTTGGTTGGAACTTTTTGAGAATAGTTTTCGGAATATTGCTCAGGATCGCTCCACAATTACTCTCATAATATTATAGTTTCTAAAGGATTGGATAACAGACGCCCAATTTGGAAAAAATTATGCACAAAGTGATCACAGATTTTATGTGGTATAGATGCTGGCATAACGGTTTTTGCCTAGGTACGCGTCTATAGTTTTGAAATGGACTGTAGATATCGTGAAAAACTACTAAATCTGGTAGAAAAGCGTTCGTGCACTTACCTCTACCGCCTACCTCTATTGGTAGAGTGACTCTACTCTACTCTACCAGGTAGCTAAAAACGAACCCAGCCTTAGGGTGAACCTAGAGTTATCTCCTAACATTGGACAGCCGCGGTGGCAGGAGAATCAATCAATCATATCATAATGCTATGTCTTACCGGTGCTCTCCACCTCCACACGTTTTGCCCATCACTTCCTTTCTTGCTGCTGCTGCTGCCGGTGTTGTTGCTGCTGCCGGTGTTGTTGCTGCTGCTGCTGCTCTTCCTGTCTAGATGGTGCCTGTCCTGAAGCAATTGGTGTGGATGACTTCAACGCCCAGTACCGTATCTACACGGCATGCTACCAGCGTCTCTACGCAGACTGGGAACAGAGCTTCCAGGCGTGGCTGGCTACTGGCGGTGAGGGATGTGCTCCGCCAATGCCACCCATGTGATGCTGAGAGAGAGAGAGAGGGGGCTGTCTCGCTACTCGGAACAGACATGGATTTAACTTATAGCATAGTACTGCTTGCAGTTTCTACTGGCTAGGTGCAGTGATGGCTGTGACTGTGATAAGCCATGGTGATGATCATCTCATAGGTAACGTACGTTGATGAACAAACCGTCATATTACCGTGTTGTCTTTCACACCCAGGCTAGAACTAAGTACCACGTTCTACAAGTACTTTTAACACAGTAATTATTATTACCAGTAGGTTCTCACAGCATGCAAATGCGTGCAATGCTAACATTGGCTAACTGTTAGAATCACCACACATTGATAAGTAAGTAAAGTTTGCACGTCCGCGTGACCACCGGCTATACAATTGCGTTGAGAAACACAACCAGCTTAGGAAGTTTCGCTCGTGCCAGGCCACCACCATGCCTGTAATACCAGGGTGGCAGATGCAGCGCCTAACGGCGAGGGTGAGGTGGTAAGTCTCACAACCAATGCCCGACAAGGGGGCTAACCTCGTTAGCTGCATCCATGTTACCCTCAATCCGAGTAGCGAGTACCCAGTTGACCGTGGGTGTCGGCACAGTTCCTTGCATGTAGAGTGGTTCACGCATGCATCACCGCATTTGTTAGCACAGTACACGCTCCCTGCTCCCAGCGCGGGTCTCGAACTCGGGACCTTGTGCTTCGCAGGCAAGCCTAACTGTTACAACCACTCGGCCAACGCGCTGGTACGATAAGTAACTAGACATAAATCTGGTGTCACGATACACCCACGTGTCTGTGATACACCCACATGTCTGTGATATATCCACGTGTCTGTGATACACCCACATGTCTGTGATACACCCACGTGTCTGTGATACACCCACGTGTCTGTGATACACCCACGTGTCTGTGATACACCCACGTGTCTGTGATCATGGTAACAAACAAACACCCCCACACCGTTAACTAAAACAATTCCTTCTCTTCTCTGTTCCAGAGATATAAAATAACAGGAGTGAGATAACAGGGGCCGTCTCCCCCCACTCACACACACACACACTCACCACACTTACTTGTACTTGCTCACTGCCAAAACTGGTCACGTGGGTCTCCCCGGGAGAGGGGAGAGAGACTCAAAAGGAATCTTGGAAAGATGACTCAATTGGCCATTGAACCACCCAACGGCCGACACCCCCTGAAATCCCCAAACTAGGGTGGACTTGAAATGATCCCACTTATGGGCTCACCACACCTCAGTAAGTGGGTGAGGACAAAGTGCAGAAAAAGGATTGACGGCATCAGGGTATCCGTCCCGGGATCCAACTGCAGGTACCCCTGCCCCCAGTGAAGGTAATACTTACTACTAGTGTGGGTGGCTAAATCAGAGTGGATCTGATATAAGCTTCACTAGCACCATTGATTACACAAGAGTTAATCTAGCCAGAAGCAGTCCATGGTTAACAGGTATGTATACTTCGAATAGAAAGTATATGAACCCTGAAACCAACAAAGGTGGTAGGTACAACAATACACCTTCAAGCAGCCGAGCCCGTTGGCAACAGGCCCAACACTATCTGGCATAAGTGTACCCACCAACCGAACTAGCTGGCACTCACCACACACACACATACACACACTTACACACACTCACACACACTTACACGCATACTTCTTTAAACTTACACTTACCCTTACACACACACCTCAGACCTCAGACATGCCCATCGCGGAAGCGATGATAGCGAACAGCTATGTTAGACATAGCAACTTGTTGGGATTTCACCATTCAACAGCTTGCAAGGCTGATGAATTGACCGCCACTATTTTAGCCTGGTATCACACACACACACACACACACACACACACACACACACACACAGGGCGAGCGGCAAACAATGACTGATACATTGGCATCTGAATTTTCAGCACGGGAAGCTTCAGCACAAACTCAGCTCAGCAAGATTAAAAAAACACACGCAGTAGGAAAGAGTACTAACTGCTATGTAATAATGTCAGTAAAGTGAAACAGGGTGACCACGCCAGTCGGAGCGCTGAAGACGAACCGAAAAAAAGGCAAGACGACGAGAGGGAAAATCAAGGGAACTAGGGGATCAAATAACAGTGGTCACCGTGGGTACACACGTGACGCGTGGCGAGTGCAGTGGGATGAAAATAAGAACAATACGGTACGGTACGGGGGGGGGGGGGGGGGTGAATAAATCCGGAATATAGTCGGGGAACAGAGAACAGGGAGTAGGGCGTTGACGAGGTCACAGCTATGACTGAACAGACGGGCATCGGTGAACCACTGGCCACCATACCACGTCGTTCAAACTTCAAACTAGCACTAGCATGCACGGGAAATGAGAATCGATATGTACACAAATTTACAAATAATATAATACAAGGAGCATGCTGCACGCATGGCGTGCTTGCTCCATCATACGCACATACACGCACACACACACACACACACACACACACACACACACGCACACACATGCACACACGCACATAGAATGCACTTCAAAATAGCAACAGAAGCCAAAAAAACAGCAGAATAGGGCAAAGTCTGAAAAAAGGAGCCGCACCAAAATGGTTCACCGGTGGGCCAATTGATAGCCTTGAATTTACAGTGCGCACCCACAGGTGCCAGTTGCAGCAAGTTTCGGTTTCTAGATTTACATTGGGTGGCCGGTGACAAGACGACCAGGGTGCATGACAGGCATTTGTGCAGCTACCAACACAGCATGCCCGCAACACACATGCACACACACACACACACACACACACACACACACACACACACACACACACACACACACACACACACACACACACACACACACCACACACACACACGCACACGCACACACATCGGTGGTAGGTCATTACTGTCCACTGGAACAGTGTCTATAGACTGTCGGGTAGCTACGTCTCAGAGTCGGCATCGGATGATGAAGCAGATGTTGAATCAGTACCCTCCCCATTCTGCTCCTCTTCCTCCTCCTCCTCCTCATCATTTTCATCATCATCATTTTCATCATCCTCATCATCCTCATCATCGTCATTGCTATCCGAATTCAGCGACTTCTTTAGCACCGTGTCATCGAACCGACTGCGGCGTTTGCGCCCGGATTGGCGCTGTACTGGCCTGCAATCGGACTCCTCGTCTGAACTTCTAGCTCTAGCACTCCTGCCCTTCCGTCGAGTGCTACTTATCGATGTGTTGGAGCGTGTTCGGCTTGATTGGCGCCTCGAGATGGAAGCTTCCGCCTCCGACTCGGATTCTTCACTCTCTTCACTACTGACATCAGATGAATCATCGGTGGCAGTTTTCACATCAAACTCTTCGTCGTCTTCATCACAGTCGCTGCCGGAGGGAGACAGGACGGCCTTGACCTTTCCCAGCTGATCCTCCAGGCATTCATCGTCATCGTCATCCTGATCAACCTCAACAGCGGGGCCGTTGCTGCTGCTGCCCATGTCTTCCTTGTTGTGATGTTCATCAGCTTGTAGCATTGCTACAGCAGCCGAGGTGGACACAGACGCCGGGCGCCTCTTCATCTGCTCCTCGAACTTCAGGCTTGCCTCGATCTCCTGCAGGCGCTGCAAATCACCCTGACCACCCTTGCCCATTCCGCTAGGATCCATGGCCTGGTCACCACAGACCGCCGCCGACAATGCTGCTGCCGCCACCACTGTTGCTGTTGCTGTTGATGCTACAGCGGGTGCCATGCGGACACGCTTTGCCGCTGACGCCGGAGCATCGTCGGTAGCAGATAACTCAAAGGTGCTTCGAATGGACGACGTCTCAGTCCTGTGGCGTTTCTTTGAAGTGTGTGACGTGGCGGTATTGGAGCTGGATGATGCACTACTGGACTGCCGTGTGTCGGATGTAGACATGCTGCCGCTGCCGCTGGTGCTACTGCTACCAAATGTGCCTGTGCTGGCAGTAGCGGAACTCAGGGACGATGCCGCCTTTCCGGCCTCATCCTCAGAGGAGCTGCCTGACGAGCTACTACTGCTACTACTGCTGCCACTGTCGCTGCTGTCACTACTGCTGCTGCTATCGCTGCTGTCACTGCTGCTGCCACTGGTATCACTTGCACTGCCGCTGCTGCTGCTGCCACTGCTTGACGATGAAGAGCTACTGCCGCTGAGGGTGGTCCGGCTGCTGTTGCTGGTCTCGGGTCTGGCCTGCTTGTGGTGAGAATGCGGCTTCGCAGGTGGCGGTACGTGGTCGCTGTCGCTGCCGCCGTCAGTGTCAGTGTCACTGTTGGTACGAGAGGTAGCTGATGTCGGGACGGCCGCGCTAGAGGCGCAGCCATTCTCCTTCGGCTCCATGTTAACAACATCTACATCCAGACAGGTGAACACGCACATGCACATGCACACACACCCGCACACATGATATACATAGAGGTGGTAAGAGAAGAACTGATGTTGGCCTGTCCCATTGCGGTAACTTGCTGCACTGACACCAGTAGACGAACTGGAATGTGATGCAGACAAACTCGTTCTAGGAGGAGAGAGAGGCGTATCCCATGATCGGTGTGCATAGCCTGGCTACTTCTATCAAGCTATTCCACAAGCAGTAAGATGAGAAAGAGAAGCGCAACAGAAAGCGAGCAAAGCACGAAACACGGGCAGGTCCGTCTCAGCCCACACTCACCTGGTTCAGTGTGCTGCTCATCGGCGACATCCATCTCGTCTTCCTCTTCCTCTTCATCGCCATTCTGCTGCTCGGTGTTAGAGTTAGTGATGAGCGGTGTCCAGCGCAATGCGTCCTCGTCCAGCTCGTGCCACAGCTTACCTTTCTCAGCCATGTATTGCCGGTGCTGAGCCAGATCACTATACTCAATGCGAAGCTCATACCTGTGGCGCAGAGAAAGAGAAAAAATAGAGCAGGAGAGATCAATAGACATCAAGAGAGAAAAGAAAGAACGAACGAGAGAGGGAGGGAGAGAGAGAGAGAGAGAGAGAGAGAGAGAGAGAGAGAGAGAGAGAGAGAGAGTTAGAGAGCTGTATTGAAGTCAAGTGCTTGAAGCATGAAAAGAACAGAACAAACACAGCTGGAGTATATTGACAAAGCAATTAGCTTAGGTTTCTTACCCGGTCCCATCCGCTGTGTGTCTCCAAAGCTGAAGCAACTCAAACGTGGCAGCAACATCATGTGGATCAATGCCAGTGTCACGACTGATACCTAAATCAAAACAAAAGACACGAGGTCAGTTGAAGACAAGCCGTGTCCAGTGCTGAGATGGCGACAGCAATCTGTAAAAAAAGGTTCTTGTCGTAACAAGCTACAACTGCTCCTAGCTTTGATTAAATGCAAGGCCAATCCCCTACTGTTCTTTACTTAAGGAAAGATCTTCCAGCGCTCCAATGTGATAGGTTCCTGGAGCTGACTAGAACGTTCTTCTATTGCCATAGTCTTGAGCGCTGAGCGCTGGGGCAGCACACCTCGGTACGCACTTCTAGAAGAAGTCAAGAGAGTACTACTTCGAAGTACAAGTAGTAGAGAGAGAAGGTAAATGGTAGTATGCAGATTGTCTAGAATACCGACATGAACAGGATAGTGACGGGCATATTGGACTAAATTGGACTAACAAAGCCCACGCTCACCATTGATAGTGACCTTCTGACGGATATGCTTGTTGAGGTACTGCAGCAGAGTGCTCTTCCAGTAGCTACGGTAGCTGACCTGGCCGAGGTCTGACAGCGGCTTCTCCGGCGAGCCAGGCTGACCTTCACGCCGAGACAGCAGGTAACCTATGTGAGCGCGAGTGTAGTGAGCAGCAGATACATACAAGATGCAGACAGGCGGCGGACAATGGCATTGCGAGCTACAGAAAAACCCGGCACGTCAGATTAAAGCCAGGCCCCATACATATACTCGTATCATTAACAACTGCTGGAAAGGCTGGAGATAGCCGGGCTGATCGCCAAGTCGTATGGTGTGTTCATCACAACACATCTACAAGCACTTCAGACACCGTCAACTAAAACCCACACCACATGGGAGAAGACAATGAAATTCCACCATGTGTCCTGTCTCTCTGATATTCCACCCTGTGTCCTGTCTCTCTGATCCGACTTACTGAAGTCTATGAGAAGACGTCCATAACCTTTCCGCTGATACGGTGGCAGGGTCATGATGCATGACACGTTGTACTTCTGTTGACACGACTTCTCCTGAACAAGACATCGGGTGCAAACGCAGTAAACGGTGAGAAAACAGAAGAAAAAAGAAGAAGCCTGGACACGACCCCCCCCCCCCCCCCCAAAAAAGCACACTTCTCTTCTCAACTCTGTATTTCAAGTCCCTCACTACACCCACTAAACCGTCTTTTGGAATAAGGTACAATACATGTAGTTGATTCACAGAATTCTAAGAGAAAAGAAGAAGAAGAAGCATAGCAATGAGCATGGCAGCAGGAAAGGAGACACTCTACTCAGTGTAGTAGCTTCAATGTGTGTAAAACAAAAGTCATGCCAAGGCCATGGCAGAAACGACCAACAGCAGTGCACACGCACACCATAGCAGGGGCGCTGGACACGCTACAGCCATTAGGGTTACTATGACGACTACGGTTACTACGATATTTATTGTACCACTTTCAGCCCAGGTAGCACCCAGAGAATTGATGCAGTGTGAGCATTGTGTATTCCTCAGTTTTATGGAGTGAAAAGGGAAACAAGTCTGAAGAAACAAATGTACTTCGAAGTACCATTCCAGCAGGACGCGCTACCACTAAGCCATGGTGTTGTCGTCCTCCCCGCACACACTGTTCTCCACTTTCCTCAGACTTCGAAATGCACGCTTCCTGCGAGACTACACTGTAACACAGGCTGGTGGGATGCAGCCTTCACTGTACCCACACACTTGACGTACCGAAGTAGCACGCGAGGAGCCCCAATACCTGCGATGGTTGACACCCCTCCCCTGCTCCCCCCCCCCCCCTCCCCGTAGTAAAGTAGACGAATGACCAACCTTGGAGAAGTACCCAATAAGATGGCACCCTTTGGCGTCGTTTCTCGTCAACACATAGAAAAGGAAGGGTTCCACGTCATAGTAGAGTGTCTTGTGATCAAGAAAGAGTTTGGCAAGTAAACACAGATTCTGACAGTAGATCTGCAGCAGGGTACAAACAGGAGAAAGGGAGAAAACATGATGGGTCATCATCATCATCATCATGCACTGTGGACACAAGGTGGTGGTGGTGGTGGTGGCGGTGTAGTATGTATTGAGTATGTGCACATCAATCCAGGAATCAATCACCATGTTACATACCCAGCAATACCCAGATACATTATACTTGTCAGACATCACACACATACATACGTAGTGGCGTAAACACACATACAAGTACACATACACGCATACATACATACATACATACATACATACATACATACATACATACATACATACATACATACATACATACATACATACATACATACTCAATCTGCGGACAGCATGCTGTTTCGTTCTTTGTGAACTCATCAGCGCAGCACAGAGGAAATGAGGCCACATACGTAGTGGCGTAGACACACATACAAGTACACATACAAGTACACATACACATACACATACACATACATACATACATACATACATACATCTACATACATACATACATACATACATACATACATACATACATACATACATACATACATACATACATACACAGAGAGACAGACACACAGACACATACAGACAGGCGCACACACACACACACACACATACATACACACACACACAACGCACCTTGTTGACTTGCCCATCCACCTCGAACACCGACAGACTCTGACTGCGATAGATTTCGTCTGCAGGTGGATGAAGCCATCCGCATTTCCGCTGCACGTAAGACAGGACAACACACGGGTAAATTGTTACAAGGACATTGCACACCCCGCTACCTAATCCACTGTAGTATCGGCATGCACGAGACACACATCTACTTGAAGTACATTGAACAGGGCTATGAATGATTGTAGTGGGCAACACACAAGGATGAACAGTATCTGTGAGACAGAATACGTTAGAATGGATGGTTAACGTGAAGAACCATCGTACCAAAAAATGATCACAAGAACAAAGGCACATGGTTGTATGGAGTTATGCAGATCAACAGCAAAATTCAAAGCATGCTTTCAATGTGCGTCACTCGAAAACAGCCAGCTGTGGACTTGAAGACAGAAGCATGTAAGTGTAGAATGCATGCTCACAGGAAATGCGTCCATGGGGTGAAACGGAGACGCAGCCTTACCATGTGATGTTCGAGAATACTGCGACTCTTCATGTACTTCAGACAGAACTCACATAGGTACAGCTTAGGCAGCCTGCGTACAAAAACCAGCATGCACGCACACACCACACACACACACACACACACACACACACACACACGCGCGCGCATTCACGCACGCACGCACATGCACACACACGCACACACATACACAACACGCGCACACGGCAAAGGTAATGGCAGAGTGGACAACAGACGTCGAGTTCCACACTCGCACACAGGTGCAGCAATTTAACAAGGCACCCACACACACACACACACAACGAGTGAAGGAAGAGAAGGAGAAGACAACATTGGCGGTGTAACGTACATGGCATACTCCTGCGGGTAGGGCGCCGAATACCACGTCTCAATGTCATAGCAACCAAATTCAATGCCGGCTGGCGAGCGTGCACCAGGCTTTAGGGCCACTTGATTATCCTGCATGAGTTTCTGCTTAGCTCTCTGCTGTGCCTGATGAAAGTTCTCAACATCTTCATCCGTCACACCTACAAGATATGAATGGGAATGATAACAGGGGAAACAGCGTGTTGTTAGGTTCACAACTGCAGTGACACACACACTTCCAAGTACATGTACATGTACATGTACATGTGTGTGTGTGTGTGTGTGTGTGTGTGTGTGTGTGCGTGCGTGCGTGCGTGCGTGCGTGCGTGTGTGTGTGTGTGTGTGCTGCTGCTGCTGCTGCTGCTGCTATACAGACCCTGGGTGATACTGATAATGTCTAGGGGATATCACAACACACACACGCACACACACACACACACACACATGCACGCACACACACGCACACACACACACCTCAGACCTCAGACATGCCCATCGCGGGAGCGATGATAGCGAACAGCTATGTTTTAGACATAGCAACTTGTGCTGGGAGTACACCATCCAACAGCTTGCAAGGCTGATGAATTGACCGCCACTATTTTTAGCCTGGTATCCACCACACAGCTGTTTGAAGTGACTTTTTCTGGCCAGTGAATCCCTATTTTTCATTCACACACACACGCACACACACACACACACACACACACACACACACACACACACACACACATGTGCGCGTACCATTGGCCATTTGAAGCCCATGATAGCGTTGCTACAGCAGAAGCCATAGCAACTTGTGCTGGGGTTGTACCATTCAACAGCTTGCAAGGCTGAAGAATTGACCGCCACTAATCAGCCCGGTCTACACCACACAGCTACCGTATTTCCGCGCATATAAAGCCATGGCGTTATAGGTGAAACATCGCTGTTTTGGACCAAATTTTTGGAGAAAATAGCCTCGGTTTTAACGCCATGGCGCTAAAAGTGAGAGACGCGTACATGCAAAAAACGGCAGAGTATGAACTTCGAGTACTCGTATGGTGCCGTTGCACTTTCATGTCGAGCATCCATGTACTTTCAATTTTCCCTGAAATTTTCAAATTGTGAACCTATTGTGTACAAGGTGGCATACAACCTTGTGTGAAGGTGTGGTGGCGGTATGGCATGTGACAGTGAGGATGGGTACATGCAGGGAGAATCACCGCTGCTGTAAGTTCACTGAAAGAATTGAACTCACCTTTAACGCCAGATGCTACTTCCTCCACATTGAATTTTGTTCACTTATAACGCCATGGCTTTATAAGTGAGGGTGGCCTTATATTCGGATATAACGCCATGGCTTTATATGCGCGGAAATACGGTATGAAGTGGATTTTTCTGGCCAGTGAACACACACACTCACACACACGCACGCACGCACACACACACACTTGTACTTGTTGCTCAATGCCAAGCTGGTCACGTGGGTCTCCCGGGAGAGGGAGAGAGACACAAAGGAATCTTGGAAAGATCATTCAATTGACTATTGAACCACCCAACGGCCGACACCCCCTGAAATCCCCAAAACTCGGGGTGGACTTGAAAATGATCCCACTTAAGGTAGTGACTACACCCAATTTCCAAAACTTGCTCCGATCGCTTCGATTTTGGTCTCATTCGATTCTCCCAGGGGTAGTACATAGGCATTCTGCAAGTATTATTCAAATCGGCCCAGCCATTCTTGAGTTATAGTGATTTGAAGTGCGCCAACTTGGACTTTCGCTGGAAACAGAAATGAATGGGAGTGGTGGGAGAATCGAGAACGACCGCACAGTCAGTGCATGCAGTACAGTGTACAGTGCACACGCCTCGTCACTCGAACTGCGCGTACGAAATTGCATACTTTGGTATGCTGGCGCAGAACAAATTCGCTCGTAGAGGAAGACGAAAGCTTCTCACCGCCTTGTAATTTCACATGGCCAGTAGTTTTTCGACGCTGAAGAGTGAAGACGATGGAATAGTCCGCGACACTGCGACCCGACCAGAACAACCCGAAATTCATATCCTGAAAAAGCGCTGAGCGCAAAGCTCCTAAATTTTGTCGTATGGAAACGGGACTTCGGGTCTCAAGGGCACGAACATCTCCTCTCTCAGATACAGCAATATAGTCGACTCGATATTCTACAATTTGACCTGGCCACGCCGAAAAGCACTGCAATGTCGGATTCTCCCATCGGAAGTATAGAAACTTGTTTCCAAAAAATCAGCGTCTGGGTGCGAGGGAGTAAAGTCACTACTTATGGGCTCACCACACCGCAGTAAGTGGGTGAGGACAAGGTGCAGAAAAAGGATTGACGGCATCAGGGTATCTGTCCCGGGATCCAACTGCAGTTACCCCTGCCCCCAGAATAGATAATACTTGCTACTAGTGTGGGTAGCTAAATCAGAGTGAATCCGACATAAGCTTCACTAGCACCATTGATTACACAAGAACACACACGCACGCACGCGTGCACGCACGCGCGCACGCACACACACACACACACACACACACACACACACACACACACACACATATCAACCTAGATGCGTACAGACAGCTAGAAGGACAAGGTGTGACATACCGGGCAGTACGGACGACGACGACGACGCGGCTGCCGCTCTAGTCGGCGGAGGGGAGCGAGTTCTAGAGCCAGCAGCATCACCAGCACCAGCACCAGCAGCAGCAGCACCACCACCACCACCATTCATAGTGCTGTTGGTGCGTAACATTCGTGAGCGTGCTTTAGGGCAACCTGACCGACTGCAATCGAGACAGCACAAAAGCAGA